GGGATTTATTGCACAATAATCTCATTGAGTTTGTGTTTCAATGAAGGCTGGTGTCATAGTTTATTTGCATTCCATGTATCCTTCTTTTGACTTAACCAGAAGATTCAGAACATGTCATAATGCAAGTACAGAACTTATTTCGCGTGTAGATGTACGTAAAGCCTAGGAATTGTCAACAGAGGTAAATTCGTCTACGTAGTAGGTGTGAGGTTAGGTTAGGTTTTCTTTTGATGCTGGCTTGGATACTTTTGTATCGTTATTTAAACTTTTACTTGAAGGTGGAATTTTATTAAGTAACTTGAGGCCTGAATGATATTTAGTGAGGTTCAGTACTTGGCTTATGAAGGTCGCATTTATGTCTTCTATTTAAAATGGGGAGATCTTTATTTCTTTTAAATTTGTCGAAGTTTTCATCTGCAGGTGACTGTAAGGTAGAAATTTCAAAAATTAATTGTGTGTTTAAAATTTTTCTCTCACCCAGGATTGGACTCAACAGCGCCCGGGAAAGTATACTAAAACCGGACTTTTTTTTTTAAATAATGGCAAATGAAATTGTAAAATTGTCTTCATGCCTCTTTTCATTACTTTCAAATTTATTTTCTTCTTATAGAGGAAATATTAATTAATGCTTTTTACAGTTAGGATGGAATGTAACCAAATTATATCTGCGTGTACATCAATGTAATAAGAAGTATTGGAATTTCCAAACCACACCTGCAACAATATTGACTGAGCAAGCTGTAAGGCTCATTTCTTATGCATGTAGTATAATAGACTGAATAAACCGTATTGCACTCCATTCCTTTACTAATTGTTAGGTCATAGTTTCCTTCGGCATTGTCGCGTCAACAATCCGCTTTCGTCAATGTGGAAAGAGCTGAGCTGTGAATCGCTTGTAGGAGAAGTGTGTTGTAGACGAGATACTTTTGTGCTTTTAAAAGTCTTTCACAATAACCAAAGTACCTATCTTCTGCGAATTACTAAGACATTCTTTTGACACTTGCTTTCACTCTCTCCGGTGGACATCGAAGCCTCTTCCTCTTGAAGAAAGAGTGAGGTAAGGGCACCCTATTTATTATTATTATTATTATTATTATTGCTTATAACATTTACAGGTTTTCATTTACATTTGTGAACTCTTGGAAGAGAATTAAGCTTGTCTTATTTCTAACAAAAATTCAATTTTTGACGTAAATACGTCTATACGGAAGGGTCATTCGGCAAAAGAGCGTAATTAAGATGTGTAAGATCCATACCAACAATGTGTAAATATGGACCGACAATGGTCAGATTGCATGCATTGTTGTTACCTAAGAAACTAATTGTTACGTCATATTTTAACTCGGAAGTGCGTCGTAGAGTAGATAATTTTGTGCTGGTAAAAACGTTTTAGAATATCACAAGTACTTATGTTATATAAGAATTATTACATTACATTACATTTCATTGCATTACATTTCATTACATTACTTTCAGCTACCACAGACCCATCTTAAGCGTAACTAATTCAAGTTAAATAAGAAATGTCTTAATCAAACTTTACTCAATTGTAAAGCATGTATAAAGGAAATATTTAGAATAA